TCATAAATATTGTCGTAATCAATCATCTCTCACATGATATCGGCATGATAACTTCTCAACATGGTACACTGTCTCTGGATCTAGACAGTCTCGTGTTTCGTTACCATGCATCACAGCCGTCTGCAACGTGCAACGTCATCAATACGCGGAACACCATGACGCGCCAGTATCATAGATTGTCATTTGTCTCCATCATTTATCATCACCATTTGTTAATATTCCCTCTCCATCATGTGATTTTGAAAAGCAGAAAGTTACTTACCTACACGTCTCTACGGACATTCCTCACTTAAGATTTCATCGAACTTTTGTATCACAACGACTGAACATCCACGTTCAGAGTACACGGCGCAGGCATTCATTATTCAAGAGTACACATACATATACACGCAGGTACGTACGCACGTACAGCGCGTCATACGTACTGGATGTACGGCGGTCATTGAGTTTTGGACAGGTTGTATTCAAACCAGGCCATCGAGCCATGATAAAAAAAAAACAACCAACACTCTCATAGTCAACATGTTATCATCATCATCATCATCATCATCATCATCGTACATATGCACTCACTGCTCATATGTTTAGGATAGTTTTATATATATGTACATGAGCCGAAAAGATTGTTATCGCTGACAGTTATCATAATTTATTATTAAAAAATTTACTAAAACTCTCTGTCATACTGTCTATGAATCCCCACTAGCTCAAATCAGAATAACAACAAATTGAAAGTAAACTTAATAAATTTTGACATAGTCGACCGCTCAATTTGCTTGCGGTACATTTTTCTATTATTACATCTAAATTAGGAAGAGTTTTTAATTTTCAAACAGTGAGTTGCGCAGTTGCAATGCTGGACGTACAAACACACGTCTGAAAGGAACTGCACGGAATGAGACGTGCTCGTATCCAGCACCCTCCCCTCAACCCCCCCCCAGAGTGCCAGCCACTACTTCTCCTGCAAGAAGAAATTTTTCGCGATAATATATAATAATATTTTTTTCATTTTCATTTTTAGAAATAGAATATCAAGCGGAAAAACGAAAACTGTTTGTTCCATATTTCTTACCTTTTTATGTTACTGATTGACTTCATCTTACTTTTAAGGTAAAATATTTTTTTAATTTGGGAAGAACGCTTTGTTCGCAGCTAACTAACTAACCAGCCAAAGAAACCAACCATTCAACTAACTAGCAAACTAACCATCAAACAAACCAGCCAGTCAGTCAGCCAGCCAACCAAACAACCAACCAAACAACCAACCATACAACCAACAAACCAAAGAAACAACCAGCCGACCAACTAACTTAGCAGCCGTCCAGCAAAATCTCATCATACTCTTAAAAACTTATGAGATGTCCATTGAGAGGATAACAGTCTGTAAACAGTTTGATGTACGTTCACGAGTGTACCCTATCAACATTTTTATGATGTTGTTCCAGGAGTGAATCCTGCTGGCATTCGCTTCGTAAAAAATAATTTTCAATAAATTTTGACATTCCTGTCAAGATGATTTCACTGCACTGTTTTTATTTATATAATTTGTTGATATAGTTTATTTATATTATTAATTTATATAATTCATTGTTATCATTTATTTATATATATTATTAGCCCAATTTATTAAAAAATACTTAAAACGAATTAGGATTTTTACCTAGCTTCATACTATACATCCTCAGGTACACATCCCAACGTACACACCCACACGCACGCACACTCACGCACACATTCATTCCACGTACTCGCAAGAATCTCATCACGTGCATAAGGCGTAGGATAGTTACACGCATCGGTGAAAGAGCATTCGCACCACATCAGAGCGTGTGGAATATAACACAAAACTTTGCACGCAAACTGCCTGCGTTGGCTGACCTCCTCTCGACATCTTGTTATTTAAATCTTATCCAGATTTACAAACATATTTTTATTTGATTCGATTGAAACATTACGCAGAAGCTCAAAAATAATCTGCACTTCAGTTATCTATACTTCGGTGTGCAAAGTTTAAAATAATTTACGGCATTTTCTATAAACAAATTAAAATTGAACTAATGATAGTTTTTGATGTTAACAGTTTTTTAAAACTATTTGAACTTCGGTTATGTTAATAATTTAGTCAAAAATTTGAGAATAAGAAAATTCGTTTGCATTAAAGATTCAACTACAAACATATGAAGAATAAATTAAAATTAACTTTTAAAAATTGTTTATAAAGTTTTCAAATATAGATGCTTGAAAAATTTGATGAGTTGCAAAAAAATTGGAATCCAATGCAATCTTTGTTTGCATTAATTTCAATAGCAGCCTACCATGTAAGTATGCGGCGCATGAGCGTGTGTCCTGCAATCAGCCGCTACGTGATGTTTGCCTTGCATGCCTGCCACACGTTAAAACAAAAATTATTTTTTCCAAAAAAAATTTCTGTTAAACAAATTTTTTATTAAATATTTTTTGTGCCCGAAAATTTAATATCAATAGATATTGTATTCTGTATAAGCGCGGAGAATTCGTTAACAGAAACATGCTGTGCTAGACAACCAGACCTTATACGTATGTATACACGTGTGTATATAAACCATGTAAAAATATTTTATAATATTACTTCTGAATTTTATAACAAAAATAAATCGCGGAAAAAAGAATTTAGAAATTTGTCAAAAAAAAATAAGCAGAAATAAAAATGAACAAAATGTCCAAATTAGTTTGTTCCTGAAGTTTAACCTTTGAAGACTTTTTTGAAAAAAGTCATCTTTGTTTTTCTTGTACGTTCAACGTTAATTAACTGTTGTTACGATAAAATATGTTAAAAAAAGAAATGATTGAAACAGGCTTGGACTGGACCGCTGGGACATCGGGAAATTTCAGATGTGCCGGCGGCTGCCAACAGTTGAAAGAAAGTTATTACATTTTTAGTTTCAGCATAAATTATCTTTAATTGTAGGACAGCTTTAAATAATAGTTTTTATTGAATATAGCCAAACTGACAGAGAAAAATCATGATATAACGAGTCTAAATATATTTACAGATTATAAATTAGATTATAAATATATAAATTAGACATAAATAAAATCTTGACATTGGAGTGCAGACTATTTTGAACGAGGTAATTTATGCTAAAACTAAATACTGAAACTGAATATAAATGAAATATGTACACTATCCCATCAGTTGAAAACAGCAACAAGCACAAATATGAATGAACATCATTTATAAAATGTTTTGTTTGTTGTTATCTTGTTTCCCAAACGTTTTCTTTGCATTGATTTGCATATTCAAATTTCTATTTGGCCTACAAATTTGTTTTGGCGTTATCCTCACCACATGTTGCTTGTGAGATGTCGTTTTCAAAATTGAAAAACATTTTTAACAAATTTAAAAATTTGCTGAGTCAGTCAACTTTACAGTCATTCATGCCGATGTCTTTCGAGAGGGACCTTCTTCCGAGAATTAACCACAATGCAATCCTTGATGTTTCAGCATCGACAAGTGAAACGACGTGAAAGCCGTTACACTAGTTCATAAAAAATATAAAGTAAGTAATATAAGTATATATAAATTTTATACTCTGGCGTTTTTTTTCAAATTTGAGCGTACCGACAATTTTTTATTGCCACTCATTTGAGGTTTCACAAAACAACATACAAACAAGATAACAGACACCAAAGCAACCAAGCATCAGAAGAAACAAACAGAACAACAACAAACCTATAAACATCACAACAAACGAACCACTAAACAAACGCAAGAACCAAACAATATTGTTGAAAGAGGTAAAGAAAGATTTGATGTGGAGAAAGAGACAACGTGAATGTAAGTAGACAATGAAGATACTTCAAAGGGGCAGTTAGGAAAGAAAACAGCAACATAAAACAAATAAATGCAAGTGCTTGAAAGCGCTACTAAAATGCAAAAGTCAATGCCGTGCTCGCTTGACACGCCATCGCTTATCAGATTGGACTTTAATCGCCACTGTTTAAATTGTTTTCAAACATCAAATTATGGTTTCCAATTAAAAATTATACGTGAAAACCTTTCATTATGAACAAAAATTAATTTGAACAATGGTTCAAGTTAAGTTTTAATTTTGCTATTCACTAAACCTGGTTAAAAATTGGAAGTCAAACAATCACTTACAAATATTATTTGTTAATGCTCCCTAAATTTCTTACTCGGGTATCCACAAAATGGAACATTTACATTACGTGTTAGGCAGTTTTATCTTAGATTATTTCCTATCTGTTGTTCAAATTTTATTTTCAAAAATGTCTAATATTTTGTTCAAAATTTTTTTGTTGCTATGAAAATTTTGTTATCGCCACCATTTTTGTTACACAACTAAAAAGCAGTTTAACAAATTAATACATTATATTACAACGCAGAAGTAAGCTTGGGAACGAGAACATTGGGAACTCCCATGAAAATTGAAAAAAGCATATTCTTGGGAATGGGAATTTTAAGAAATAGGAAATTACTTGATGGAATCTGAAAAAGCGATAAAAGCCAAATTTCAATAAAAACAAGATTTTCCAATAATCGGACTATATCGGCAATAATCTGTGCAACATGCAGAGCAAGCGCACGCACAAATTATGAACATGAACGCTTTTACAACGCATGATCTCTAAGGATTTATGAACGAATAGCGTCGATGTAGTTATAATAAAATTAAAATTAACTAAAATGTTATCTTATCAACATATTTGTTTAAAATGGACTACTTATTGAGATGAGGCAATGTTCTCTGCTGAAGTTTTTCAAATAAAATTTAAAGACTCAACTTTTGAATGCAATGCACGTAGGCCCTGAAGCAACGCTTCGTTTGGCGCTATAAAATTGTTCATATTTTTCAACATTTTCATAAAATAATTCATGTTCTAAGAATGTTTTCTCAAAAAAGAAAATTTTCTTACATTTAATTATTTTATTAAGACTGACGTTTTGACACTTAACTCTCGTTATAAACTAAATAATAAGTTTTTGAAGAAAAACATGTTCACGTTCTGATTAAATTCTTCCTCCAACAGCTTTGTTTCATGAACTGCACTTCAAAAACATCTTCACAATCTATGTTTTTTTTTATAGTTGCTAAAACCTCAGGCAAATCCTTACTAACTGTTCTGAATTGTGTTTCATCACGCCTCGTCAGCAATTTAGCTCTTCTTCTTTTGACTTGCAATTCAGTTCCGACACCATCTGAAAATACAAATGTTCCACATATTAATGCCTCTTCATTTGGACCAACCCTAGCGAGGTAAAGAATGACATCATCTGTCATAAACCTTGCTGAAAAGTTGCCTATATTAATTTTTAATTTGTGATTAGTTCGATTAACATATTGTTTATAAGTTCGTGAAATGTTTGTGCTGAAAATCTCAATTAAATAGCTCAAACGATGTACAAATAATTATTATAGAACAAAAAATTATCTTGCAAAGCTTAATTCCTAAAACTAATGCAAATACCAACAATACCAAAATAAGGACAATTTTGATTGTTAAACATTTTAAAATTGTTTAGAAAAAAATGTAGTTTATTTGAAAGACAGATATGACATTGACAAATACAACATGTTCAAAGACAAAAAAAAGACATGGCTGATTACGCCGGCGTAAAATTAAACAACCATGAAAAATTGAAGCAAGAGACTTGCTTTGGACACCAACAAATAATGTCAATTTAAAAGAGCTTAAAATTGCTGTACTTTTTTATAACCAGAATATTTTTCCCTATATAGAATTTTCTGAAACACACATATAATCAATTAATGGAAAGAATTCCATTTTTGGTAGGTTGGTTGATTGAAGACATTTTGTTTCTTATGTGGAAGTGTGACGAGAAGGAATTGAATGGATGACAATAGAAATAGTGCACACGATGAGACTATTTAAAAACAGTGGAGCAAGAAATCGAGAAGGCATTTTAAAAATAAAGATTGCCTCGTAGAACAATCTTTCATGAAAAAAGTGGTTTTAAGCGTTTTCACAATTTCAAGAATGATTAATAATTATTATTTGTTCCACAAATTTCAGCAGATCTCGCATTTGACTAAGACGATACCTCAAACGTGAATATTCATGTTGTGTGGTATTAACATAGATTATTACTATCCGTATAAAAATAACTTAATGCGCCTTCCCAGGATTGCGCGGTTTGTTTTCTTCATTGAACTCCGTTATTTGAACGTTAACAGTACTGTCAGCAGTTCTTCCAATACGAACAATGTCGGCACTGTCCGCGATGATCATCGATTTTGTCGGTGGTTACTACTGCTTGCCTTTATCTTTCAAAAAAGTTATATGATATTTACCATTCTCGATGGTTTTTTTATTTTATCCACTTTTGAACGGTGCTCAAACTTTGCGGGCGAATTAAAATATCTGAACGTACGAAAGAATTAATCGACGGGTGGCCTTCGAGAAAGTTTTTCTGTGATTTCCTGCCTTTGTTTGGCTCATTAGATGCAGATAAATTGTTTTTAATGTTTTCTTATCTGTGTATTTATACACAATAAAACAAGTAGTTATAACATACATGCATACAATAACTTCAGACGTATATTACACAATATTCATCTGATTATGCATCATTCTTTGCACATACAAGCTACAAATAAATAGACAGCAAAGCAAAAAATCTTAAACTAATCAGATAGCAACATGCTAGAAAGCGGTCGAACAATTGGCCTCAATGTTGACCTCGATAAATAATGAAGCAATCAGATCACATTATGATACACAGTTTCTTCTGTTATGATCATTTCATTTTCCATAACAACATTCTGTTTATATTCATAATTAAATAAATGAATAATTTCAAAAATGTCTTGGCTTTACGTCATTTCTTTAAAAATGTCAACAAATTGTAACATGCAGCTGTATTACAGTCAAAAATGCGCTTCATGGATCATTGTCTCAACATTCATCACCAACGAGAACTCAATAGACAATAAAAATTGTTTTTATAATGATATTTAATGAACTGATGGCACAATTGTAAGTACAAAACATAAATAACGACAAGAATAATTTTCTATTTATAGAAGAACTCGCAGGCATACACTCATACGCAGGCACACACTCACACACAAGAAGAAACGCAAGTACACGCATCCTCGCACACACACATACGAAAACACACGCAGATACAAACTCATACGCAAACACACACACACACACACACACACATACAGACTCACTCACTCACTCACACGGGCACACATGCCTTCTGCTGCACAAACCTCGCTACTGCTAATAAAAATATTTTAGAATCACGGATGGACGAACATTTTGAAGATGGCCATTCCGATGTCTAGTGAAACAAATTACTCGCTCATTTCTTCAGACATTCATATCCATGCTGTTCTGCTCGCTACCCTTTCCATGACGTACACTCATGCACGTGCACAGTCCCACACCTCACGCACTCACGCACGCACCTTCTCCTTCGTTTGCGGACGTAACCGCCTTTCCATGACTGCGTTTAGTTTCCAACTTTTCTCCAGATGGAAGTACAACAATTTTTAAGGCAAATGAAAGTGATTGAAGCTGAACAAACATTGAAGCATTTGAATCTGTTGAAACTCGCGAAACATTACATTTTTAGTTGTAACAATTAATTTTTTATTTTAGATACCAAATGACTTAATAAGATGAAATGAAAGATTGTAGCTTATCAGATATCTTGTTACTGTAACGCTTCTAATATTTATACTTAAAATTAAATGTCTCAATTCTTCCTTGACACTAATTAATGAATAATTAGAAGTTATTAGTACAAATTACAATTAAGACTTAATTGATTAATATATTATATTAATACTTGATATTTGGTAGTTTAATAATTTAAAGTTACTAATTAATGTTAAATTATTTTACTTGTTTCGTTATAAAATGAAAAAAAAAATGTTATTATAAAATAATTAAAAAATGCCTTAATTAAGTTTTCTACCAAAAACGTTTTTGATGAAACCAGAACAAACAAACGTATTTTCCTGAAAACAGTTTGCGATTTTGAAATTTAGTGAAGCATTTCAACTATGCAAATACTCTTCTCATGCAGCAACATTTGGTTTGATACAATAAATATTTTCCAGAATGTTTTGAAGAAATCAAACGTCTACATTGTTGGGCACTTTGCATTTCCTGTGCAGATAAAAATATAACCCATTTAGGAAAAACCCATTTAACAAATGGGTTTTTATTATGAAAAATTTAACCACAGCAAAACGTTCAATAAATTGAAATAAAACAAAAAGAAAAATAAATTTTACACTGAGAAACAAATATGAAAACATTTTTTTAACAAACAAAAAATGAACGAATAAATTGCGTTACTTTAAATTGAATATTGGAAATATTGAGGGCCATGTATCTCATTGTATGTACAGGGGATTGTTTTGAGATTGCCCTCGTTGGGTTCGATGGTTACACTTTTGGTTTCAATTTATTTGATTACATTTAAGAAACATCTCAATACCTTCGTAACATTTTTTTAGTGGTCGTGCAGGAAGTGACATGCCAGCAGCCAACATGCATCATGACTCGGTGGTCTTCTAAGATTAATTAATTATATTTGATAATTGGCAGGATAACGAATTTCTTCTCGTTCATTTATTTCATAATGTTTTTTTCCTTAAATTTCAGTACAATTATTTTTTTTATTTAAAAAATGTTGGAGTTGATGACGAAACTTGCAAAAACGAGATGTTTTTATCTGTATAACCAGATCAAAAACAAACAACAACATTAATAATAATAAATATTATTATCATTATTATTAATATTTAAAATAAGAATAAAAAATATTCCGTGTCATGGATATCATGCGACATATTGGCGAACATGGAAATTATAACAAACAGGCATCATCATGCAGACAGACATCAGGAAAACATCAGGAGAACATCAAGAGAACATTAGAAGAACATCAGGAGAACATAAGAGAACATCAGGCGAACATCAGGAGAACATCAGGAGAACATCAGGAGAACATCAAGAGAACATTAGAAGAACATCAGGAGAACATAAGAGAACATCAGGTGAACATCAGGAGAACATCAGGAGAACATCAGGAGAACATCAGGAGAACATCAGAAGAACATCAGGAAAACATCAGAAGAACATCAGGAGAACATCAGAAGAACATCAGAAGAACATCAGGAAAACATCAGAAGAACATCAGGAGAACATAAGAGAACATCAGGCGAACATCAGGAGAACATCAGGAGAACATCAAGAGAACATTAGAAGAACATCAGGAGAACATCAGGAGAACATCAGGAGAACATCAGGAGAACATCAGGAGAACATCAGGAGAACATAAGAGAACATCAGGAGGACATCAAGAGAACATTAGAAGAACTTCAGAAGAACATCAGGAAAACATCAGAAGAACATCAGAAGAACATCAGGAGAACATCAGGAGAACATCAAGAGAACATCAGGAGAACATCAGGAAAACATCAGAAGAACATCAGAAGAACATCAGGAGAACATCGGAAGAACATCAGAAGAGCATCAGAAGAACATGAGGAGAACATGAGAACATGAGGAGAACATCAGGAAAACATGAGGTCAGGCGAACATCAGGAGAGCATCATTTCCCTCTCTCAGTCACGTCAGCTGCCATATCCTAACGGCGATGATGATATAATTACAGTGTGTATTTTGACGTTCTGATTGTAATGGTGACGAGTGCAACTGCTCACTGCTGCATTCCAGTGATGTCCCGCTCAACAGCTGCTGCGCGTCTGCATTCAGGTTGCTCATGTTATCTTGAAAAAAATTCAATTGTTTGTTTGTGACCGACCACAAGCTGGGATTGTTCAAGTTTTATTTTATTGAAAACTGCAACAATAACAGTTCAAAGCTTAAAAGAAAGACAAATGAATGTGTGAATGAATGAAAAAAAATAAATGAACGAATGAATGAATGAATGAAGAAGCGAACGAACGGACGGACTATCGGACAAACGAATGAACAAATGAATGAATAAAGGAATGAATGAATGAATGAATGAATGAATTATTTAATAAATTAAAATGTTCACTCTGATCTCAAACTGATAAATGAAACATCATGTTTCTGTTTATTCTTAAATTAACCTGAGAAGATTGGTGCGGTGTAGGGATTTTTTGCATAATGAGATATGGACGTTCCTCGTGTAGATGACCAGCGTGTCCACGTCTGTTTTTTTTCTTTTTCTTCCCCTCTCTTCCATCGTCCTTTTGCACATTGTTTTGCATGCCCATGCTCTTCAGTTTGCTGCTTTGTTCCACGTATCCACTCAAAGTTTCAATTGTTATTTCAACTCACTTCCCATCACATCACATTCATGTCATCTTATAAGATTTACTGTCAGTTTGATACGTGTTCACTGCATGTCCCAAATGCTTACGTTTCATTGTGTTCGTTTTATTTTTTAAAAGCATTTGTAGAGAATTAATTAAAAAAATTAAATAATAAAACACACTCTACACAAACCTTCTTGAATAAAGTTACATAAACACATCAATTAACACTGAAATTTCTCTCACACAAAGTACACACACACACATATTGAATATATATATTGCAAATAAATATACAAAAACAAACGGAGCAAGACCGGTGTGATGAATGAAATGCAATGTACAGCGTGACTGACAGAAGAGACGAGCGGGATGGATGGCTTGAATAGTTGGGAAGACTTAAGAGGGGCAAGTTAATGGATCATCATCATGGGACGCATGCTACAAGCAAGGAACATTAAACTTTTTCCAATACATTTCATTCAACTTTCTACATAATTCCTAAAAAAATGTTGAAACAACAAACAACCATTTCCACACTTGAAGCTGAAGATCCAGATGCGGGCTGACATCATTCATCCAAGAAGCAGCGGCTTACAAATAACAACATTATTTTCAAATAACATAGTGCACAAATCTGCATGCAAATGAGTGCGTATAAAGAGAATATATGCGCATAGGTGTGCGTGCACAGACGTAAACATCACATAGGTGTATGAATTTATGTGGATGGACACGCGAGCTGGCATCTGTGTACACTCGCTTACATCTGGGCCGTCACTGCATGTATACGAAATAATATATTCTCTCTCGTAAACTTTTTCAGCAATAAGCACACATGCATACCTACGTACAATCGGCTCATAAATGATGATGCGAGAATTTGAACGGAGGCGATTCTTTGGGCTGCTTTAAAAGAATAAATGAAAATGTTTTGAACTTTATTTAAACTTGCTTCTCAAATTTTATCAAATCTTTTCTGAATCACCGAGAAACCACTATAGAGCTGAGCAGATGCCACTGAAGATTGTTGTTTTCATTATGAGACGGTTGGAATTTGGATAGCAGCAAGTCACCATCATCAGCTGACCTCAAACAACGCCACCCCGGATGACTAGATACTCGTGCTGGTCCTTCAAGAAAACCCCGAAGTCCCTCATCATTAAAACGCTCTTTCACCAATATTTCGATGTTAAATTTTCTTTTTCTGTCAATTGAAGACCACTGCAAAGTAACTTCTGTTACCACTCTAGCTTCGGCAATCAAAATTGATTGGACGCAATTTGGGAGAATCTGAGTCGTCCCAAACAGCAATGCATCAACATAATCTATTTGTGCGCATGTGAAACTGCACCGGAGATACTTTGCAGACTCTCGTGTGAGATAGCACCTAATCACCTGACGCTGCGTAAATGATACAGGCACGTATGTAGAGACGTCTGAAGTTCTCCTCCATTAAACAAATCACTCCGAGATCAGACTCGGGCGTCTTAAGTTGGAAATTGCCTTCCATTCGTGAGATCTGCCAAGCCACGTTTAATTGTATTTCGCTCACGTTTAACCTCAATTCGCTCGTGGTCATCAAATTTTAAAATCTTGTTATGACTCTGGTCAATACTCCCTTAATTATACACTCATACATTTATACATACAATTGTTTTCAAATATTGCGCCTTCGTGTTAATTATTAAAAAGAAAAAAAAGTTTCATTATATTATAAATTTTTAATGAGTGAGCTTGAAGGCATCAAAGAAAATAAAAAAAATTGATCAACATGCCAGTGCAAACAGATTGAAACTTTTCTAATGAATTCACAGACTCATTTCATATATTATTGAATGTTTGATCCGATTCCTTTAAAATTGAATTGTAAAGGCGTAAACATCATATAGACAGTTCAATTTGAAATTTTTTGATTAAATAAAAAATATGTACAAATACAGTTTTATTGCAGTTATTTTTTACAAAAAACGTTAAGAATGCGTTCTGCCTGCCAGTGAAAATGTTTCACCATAAGTTATCGTCTGCTCGATAATAAAGGCAAACGAGGTTGTTCACCTCTTGTCTATCACAATTCACATCAAAAATATGACGAAGTTCGTTGCATTGGACAGTATTGAATGTTTAATAATAATGTTTATAAAATTTTTAAAGAGACGCAAAAACTATTGTATCAACTTCATATATGAGGACTGGGCCCCCGTTGAGAGCAACGTTTGTATTAAAAGTCAGTAAAAGTCATTGTTATAATGTCAGAAATGGTCGTCAGCCAGTGGTTTGTGATTTTGAAAGAAGTGATCAGGGCGTTTTTCATGTAGACAGGGATATGCTTTGCAACAAAGAGGACTTTGATGATGATGCTTATTTATTTTCATTCATTTTAGAATTTGTGCATTAACAAAAAATATTTCAAAATAATCCGGTTGTTGAATGAGACCACATTAATCATCACCGGAGACGAACAGCTACAAATCTCTAAACTTGCCTACTCATTGCAGCCATTCGTTACAGGAAAAGTTATTACTTTTTGTTTCTCACTGAAAAATGATTCAACTTTCAAAACTCCAGCACATCAAAATCACGCATCAGCACAAGTGAGCAAGGCACATCATAAGCATCTTCCAGGCCGTAATATTTTGTTGGTTTGTGCTGCCTTGCCAACGTGTTATGATGGGATTTAATCCACCTCCAGTGCAATATTTATGAACGACAGTTCTTTTGTTTGCAAGCATAAAAGCCCGTAAAAAATATCTTTGAAAAATAAATTCAAAATTTTTTTGATAAATGACCCACATAAAATAAAAACGATTTACACAAAATGCCACAACAAATTTTGTGTGAGTTAGCTCAGTCGGCAGGAATGCCAGCATGTTACGCGTTGTTATTACGCGACGGCATGGTTCGAATACTGTCTGTCCGAAGCTTAAACAAACTCGTACGATGCGGTACCTGCGCGTGCATACATAATGTGTAAGGAAGTCGTGTGGTGTGGATAGCACAGCCTTTGTGGCAAGAAGACTTAATCACATGTTTAGAATATCATGTAAGTACCCATGTAATCATATCTATCCTTCGCAGAGCTGCATAAAAAAAATAAAAAAATTGATTGATTATTCAAATTTATTTTCCTTGTTAATGAAATTTAATGTAAAGATTTATAACTTTTTAGTCGCTAGTCCTTGATGCTTCAAAAACACCTCAAACTTTCAGACGTCAGTTAAATAATTAAAAAATGAAAGCCAGTACGTAGCGGTGGTCGCTCAATTTAAAGATTTTTTCGCCTAATCGTTTCGAATTTAGAAAACCTCAAACTGGCCCTCACTTCGTCATGTGCAAAAGCATTTGCTTATTATATAAAAGGGTGAAAAAAAGTAAAATAGATGACGGCGACGTTGACAATTTATTAATTAAATTAATTGTTTTATTTATTATCAATAGAGTGTTAATTAATTATTATACAATAATACATGTATTTACAATTTCAATTTTGTAATTTCTAAAAACATGTTTTAAATTAAAATAGGGGCCATGCTTCGTGAACTTTAAAATCTAGGTTCACAGTTTGGTTTATAGAATTTTTATTATTAAAAATATTTTGATTATTAAATCATTTCATATTTTGCAATTCTCAGTGTTTCAATGGGTACGATTTATTGAGGCGAGCATGAGCGTACACGTGCATGCAGATAGACAACATCGCGGTTAGATTTCTACGAGATTTTTTTGAAAAAGCGTGAACATAGGCGCAACTGCAACGTACGTAACAACATTGGCGGCTTGAATTTGTGTGCACACAGGCACCATCTCACGGGCAAATGAACATAACTGGGGCCGGAAATTTCGATATTTGTACAATTTTATTTTGCTTGTGTTTGTGTGCCACGTTGTTCACATTTTGTATGCTTCTTATTTATTGGAACTTGTACATGCGCACCTTAAGTTTGTATACATCATTAATTTAAATTTACTTGCATGAAGTTGATAACACTTTTGATTGTTTATAATGTTTAACTATTTGTAAACGAGGATCGATTGAGAATATTTAACATTTAGAGACTATTGTGATGTTCAGGGAAATATTTTTCGACGATGTTTATATAAAATGGAAAATAGTTTCCAGCACACACTATGCATTCTCTTACCGAATACAGTTATTATACCATTTTAATTGTGTTTGCGTTATTGTGTACGTGTGCGTGCGTGTTTACGTTTGTATGTGTGTTTGTGTGTACTTGTTTGTG